TAGCAAGCTAACGTCATTAAAACGTCAAATGACGTCATTTTGACGGCGAATGACGTCATTTTGACGTCAGCGTGATACCTGGGAATTTTAGAAAATAGAAAATAGAAAAATTAAAAATGTAATAGGCGTGATAGGGTGCAAAATTATTAACAAATATGTAGATAATACACTTTAATAATCAAATAAAAAAGAATAAAAAAAAATAAAATTTAATTTTAACGTGTACGTTTCGGCTCTTCTTTTAGCCATCTTCAGCGCAAAAACAATAAATAAAGAATTCAGATATAAAATTATAGTTAAAGTCAGTATGTAAAAATAAAAATAAAAATAATATAAAAAGTTATATAGGAAATTTTTCTATTTGATAATTAATCGTAATATTGTGTGTGTATTTACGTTTTTCATTGGAAATTTTCCTGGAAATTACTTATTCTTGTACGAGTCACTGCATAAAATCTTGATTTGCTTAATCAAACGTCAAATGTAATCGAGGACAAATGCATTTCACTATTCATTTGACGATGCGTGTATGTATGCATATGTATACATACATTGTCATTCTTCGTGATTCTTTTCCGCAAGCAAATGTAGGGAAATATTCGCGTGGAAATATTCGCATTGAATATCGGTGTATTGTATATAAGCAATGTTCAAAAATAATTATTATCTAAAAATCAAGGAACATAAATAATAAAAATATAAAAAATATATAATTCTTCTAAGATTCTAATAATACAAATAAAAATACAGAATGTTTTAAAATTCCATTGAATATCGTTTTAACAAATGCTTTGAAGTCAAATTTTCTTCACTGAATGTATCAAGTGAGATCATAATTTATTGCCTGTGTTACCACTATGAACTATAATTATTAATAATTAATAATTTTCTTAGAATTAGAATAATTAATATTAATAAAATTTATTCGTGTTTCATAACACAATAATTAAAATTTTAAGCTTGTTATAAATCAATGAAAAATGCAAATGCGTACACAAATTAATATATTATATTATTTTTACATAAAATTATACCAGTTTATTTTTACAAGGTTATTGCTGCAACATTATTACCGCATTATTGCATTGCAGTATATATGCTGCAAGATCCTGTGCCATATGTGGTTGCAAGTTTTAAATTTAAAAAATTTGTATATAATTCAAATTAAAATTATTTCCTCTGAAATTGTATTGAAGAATGTAAATATTTTATTATCTTTTTAGTTTCGTATAAAAGTTTAATTTAATGAAAAATTTTCTTGGTTAATCATTTATAACTCGAAAATTATTGATCTACCTAATCTTTTTATTAAATAAATAAAATTGTGTTTAATTTAGCTAAAGGATCTGCTAAAAATAATCTAGTGATTTTGCAATACTTATTTATACACAACACACACGCACACGCACACGCACACATAAAATATGAAACGTATGTTAAAAAACAATTTATATGTAGAAAAACTGTCAAATAAACGTCTTGTCGAGATGAAACCAATTCTAAATCTCAATCGTTCGATCTTTCTATACATTTTCAGATGTATATTATTTTTGGACCGCCTTGTATAGAATGCGTGCGGTGCATGGAAGATAGCATAGCAGGCGTGTTCTTTATTCGGCACGCGTATGACTGCGGGAATGCGTCGTTGCGGCACGTATCGCGAAATTGCGGTCGAATTCGATGTGCATTATATTTTAGTAAACTCTCTGAAGCACTTATCAAAATACGCGCATCGCATTTACATTTATTGATTATAACGTGACACTTAATGCGCGTGTACTCCTAATTAATTTACCTTATTTCTAAATAATTGTTGTAGAAATATTGCTACGATAAATATTTATATATTATGTAATGTAGTTGCACATTATGTGATTACTGCGACATACCTTCGAATTACATATTTTTGATCGAATGCATAATTAACTATTATTATAGTTGCGTTAAAATGTAAAGTGGTTTCTTTTTTTAAATGTCACATATATTCACTATATAAGCCGGATGGTTCTGGTTAATAAAAGAGTCAGATAGCACAGGCGAGCCTTGGGTAACAGGTAGCGGAAATATGTTGCTGTCGAAAGCGACTGTAATTACGTATAATGATAGCGCTTACGTAATGTATATTAAGTCAAGCGGTGTGGTCGGCGGCGTTACGAAAATTCAAAGGAAACGATACCTGTCTTCGCCGTTGTTACATGATTTTGTAGCACAAACGGCATTGAAATTGCGTAATGCCCTTTGTATTCCCTTATGCAAAATCTGAATATCTGAGTTGTATACATCGTGTAAGCATTATGCGTGAAAATGCCAATTATTATCCGCATAAAATTTAATAAGAAATAATAATCTTTGCTATTTGTTCTTCAAAGCGATATCTTTTCTCAAAACTTTTATTTTCAAGGTTAATTATATGTATATATGAAGCATTGGTTAATGAGATTTCAAGGTCATCATTGTTTTTTTAAACGAAACTATCATAATTTTTTAAATTTATCTAAAATTTTGATAATATTAATTATCTGATATATTATTTTTGATAATGTTATCTGTGATTTTTTATAATATTTGATGTAAAAATATGTTAAAGTGAAATAGTCAAAAATGTATAGTTTACGAAATATTTATGCTTTATTATTTTAATTAAATATTTTTAAATTATAAAATTTTTCAACCTATTATTTACGTTGAAACTATTTTTTTGATTAAACAACTAAGAAATAATACACAGACAAAAGTATACACAAACGCCAAATTTATGATACCTTATTGTTTATTAAACACACGAAAATGGTATATTATTATTATATTATTACATATTTATTATAATTACATTTGTTGTTTTTTGATAATGTTATCATAAAGTTATTCATTCTTTTATTTTATAATAATTTTTGAAAATTATTGTAAAACAAAAAATGTCAAATAAATAATTATTATAGTTTTATAATGTTAACAATTTATCTTGTGAAAATATATGGCCGATAAGGGAAGTTAAAGTACACAGCTGTTTCGCAATTTACTCGTTTGATGGTAGCACAAGTTAAACGCTACTCTTATAATTCTTGCTAAGTGAGGTTTAACTTTTGTTGATTGTAAGCATTTTTAAAAGGTCTTTAAAAGTGTTTCAATGTCAGTTGCAAGAATCTATTGACAAGGTATTTCAAAAATATCCTACTTTAAAAAAATAAAATCATTTTTACGGCGACTTTAACAAATTGATTTTTAGATCAATTTTTGTCTGAAACATAAAATATTTTTTTCTAAAATTAAATATAAGAAAATTAGAAGAAGAGTAATTGCATGTTTAAAATGAGAGTGTATACTTTAGAAATTTGAAAAAAGAGATTCAAGGATTAATTATTATAACATATAATTTTACAAATGTGTTATTAGAAAACTATTATATTATTATATACATATAGGATTTATGTTAAGAAATAATGCGAAATATTTTGTGAGAAACATTCCGAATCGTAATATATAAATGAACTTTAACAAATTTAAAAATAATATAAAAATATCAATAATTAAAAAACAGTGATATTATCGATCGGTTTAATCTAAAAATACATCTTAGACATTATATATATATATATATATATATATATACAGACAGCCTATAATTATTTGCATAGAATGTATATTTTAATTTTTCAATTATTATTTTATAAGTATGTATACATATATTTGCAGCACAAAAAATGTTTCGTCTGTTGGTAAAAACAGATGATAAAAGGAAGAAGACGCTATGGACGTCTGCTGTTGAATTCAACAACTGCATCGTAATTGATGCCAGATTATCGACAACACTCACAGCAGTTGGTAGAGAGTGAAGAGCCAATGGCTGCCATTTTATGGAATGTAGTGATGAGTCGTGCTTCGTTTAGTGAACGAAATTGATACTTTAGTAGTTCTTAAATTCTTTTAGAATGACGCAGTTTTTGCCACCGAATTTGTTAGCGTTGTTCGCGCCACGTGATCCGGTTCCGTATCTGCCACCGGCGAGCAAACTTCCGCATGAGAAGAAAAACGGCGGATACGTTGGCGTCGGAACCTTTCTCAAATGTTTCGAGGTTGGGCGATGCATTACGTTACATTTAGTATTGTTTGTCGCGAATGCTAAATTCGAACGGCTCGTGTACTCTCCTCGCATAAATTTATTACCCTTTTAACTGATCTGATATACATACCTCTAATTTTCTTTGGATTTTGATACATCATAATTCTTTAAAAACAAGAGAAAAAGATCACATAAAGATATATTCTAAATTGTTTAATCATATTTTTTAATAGCATGCATTTTTTTTTTTTTTAGTAAATTATAAAAGATATTTTTTTAACTTTTTATTTTATCTTTTTTCTCCCATGGATATGGAGTTACGGACATTAATTTAGAATCTGCTCATGTTTGTATTATTGTTAAGGCCTTTTTCTCATTTGTAAGTGGTTTTGAATTATTATTTTATATTTCATGAATGTGTTTTAAAAGAAAAGCAATATTTTTCATAGGATCCTAAGGATACACCACCACCAGTGCGTGTAGAGACTCGAGAGGAACGTCTGGAGCGTAGAAGAAGAGAACGTGCAGAGCAAGTTGCATATAAGCTCGAACAAGAAATTGCAGTGTGGGATCCAGCTGGCATTGCCAATGTCACAGCAGATCCCTTCAAGACTCTTTTTGTAGCTCGAATCGTAAGTTTGATTTATATGAAATATATTATTATGTGCTATTAAGCACATATACAATTGAATAATTTAAAATATATCATAATACAATTTATTTTTTTTTATTTTTACAGAATTATGATACATCGGAATCCAAATTGAGAAGAGAATTTGAGGTATATGGACCAGTAAAAAAGGTAAATGTACATATATGTGTTTTTACCATAATAATCTAATAAAAATAGTAAAGACTCACATTTTGATATTGATTTTTTTGCAGATTGTAGTAATACATAATACAATTAATGGCAAACCTAGAGGATATGCATTCATTGAGTATGAGCACGAAAGAGATATGCACTGTAAGTAACAACTTGGAAAGGTAAAAAAAAAAGAAAAAAAAAGAAAAAGAATAAGTTATCGCGAAGCTCAATGAGCCCCGTATAGTCTGGAATTTCATCTTACTTAGCGTCACTTCCAGCTAGATATAGTGGGGACAGGGCTTTAGAGTTAGGCTATCCATTTTTATTGGTACTTATAAACCAGACGATATCGTCTAGGGGAAGGGGGGGTTCCTCACCGCCATACGCACACCTATGCAGGAATACCATTTGTAAATATGCATAAATATGGTAAAAGCGAAAAACGTACGAACGAACAAACAAACAAATGACGTGAACGTTTATTGGCTATCTTTGATTAATACAGTTTTTATCTTGTTCTTGGTACAGCGTGGTGGCCGCTGCCGGCAACTAGTGCCGTTCACTATTCCATGCAAAATCCCTGAACCTGCCTGATATGATAGGTTTGTATGTGTGGTAAGATCCAACATACAACAACGTTTGTTAGCGTCTTACTTGTTTACCCTATTTATCGTATCGTGTTTGATTTTTTATTGAGCGATGCGTGGTCTCGGTCGAAATTATAACGGACGTACGTGATAACATCCGCCACGCTCTTTACGGGTTCTTTTAATTCGAATTTTTCACCCATACACGATCGAACAGTTTTTTTTCCTTTTAGAATATGTCTCGTTAATTAAAGTGTTCGTAGATTCTAAAATATCGCGGTATCGCATAATCGACCCGTAGAATCTACGAATTTCAAGATTCGCGAACGTTAGTATTTACGTTAGAATCGCGTGAAAGTTAGCATTCTACATTGAAATTGATTGCTGGGCTTTTTTAGGATGAAGGTTCAGGGACATACTCTACTCGCGTACTCGTTTGTACGAATAAACACAGCGAATACATAGATACAAGCATCTTGCACAGACATTTTTCTTCATATTCGCTCTTCCATATGAATATCAGAATAATCTTATATCAGGGATGATTGTAATTCTATGGTTGAAGATGGAATGATTAAGATTTTATATATAAATAAGGCATTTTGTTTTTACTAGGTCTTGTGTTATAAAATGGCATTAGTTTTTCTAATTCTGCATTAATATTCTCAAATGGGATAAAGGACTATGCCCAGAGTTGGTTAGTGAACAGTCATGAGTCATATATTAATCGATAGGAGGGCACTTCCAAAGTCCTTCTTCGGAAGGTTTTAATTGCCTAATTGAAGTTTCATTTCCCCCCCTTTATAGGCATCGTCGTCACAAGAACAAAATCCAAATTTCTTCAACATGACGGCATAGATCGTGTCTAGCGACTTGGGCGGATTAATGAACTGTACCAAATACATTCTAGACATATTATTTCTAAGAGTTTAAGAAGGCTCTGTAATATAAATATAAATTTAAAGTATCAAACAGGCAATAAGAGCCAAATCGCGGATGACAGTGCGTTATCTCAACGAAACTAAATTTTTTCGTTAGAATTAAAAACCTGTGCACAAGGCACCAAATTTTACTTGGTCACGGCCAAGATTTAAAATTCCCGATTCAGCGACTTTCGGATCTATATTTTTCTCTCGCATTTATTTCCTTAGGGGGGAACAGGGGATGAATGGAATTAAATCTCTTGTAGAGATTATTCCAATTTTAAATCTTGGCCGTGACCAAGTAAAATTTGGTGCCTTGTGCACAGGTTTTTAATTCTAACGAAAAAATTTAGTTTCGCGTTGGGATAACGCACTGTCATCCGCGATTTGGCTCTTATTGCCTGTTTGATACTTTAAATTTATATTTATATTATTTCTATTTCTTTGGTACAACCTGACGCAGAGAACTCGGATAAAGCGGGGAGCACACATTCTTGCATAAGCGCATAAGCATATATGCATAAGAAATTCGATTGGTTGAATTTCTTATGCATATGTTTATAGACCAATCAAGATTCTTATGCTTACGCTTATGCGTCTATGCAAAAGTGTGTGCTCCCCGTTTAAGACCCCGGACAAGATAGTGATACATGTGGGTAGGCGGTTATAATAGCGAACTTTAGATAGCTCTAGCACTCAAGGGACTCATTACAAGATCTGTCAATGAAACTTTTTAATCTTCTTTTGATGTCTTACAATTCTAGCCATGTCTCATTACTGTTCACCAGGGGCCCAATTTTTTTTTTTTTTATAAACTGGACATAGTCCTTTTTATTCTACAGTATAAATTGTTGCATATTTGTATGAAACATGCAATTAGCCTATACTTTGGTAAAACTTGTGAAAAGATTACATTTCTCACTAATTTTGGCTTTTAGCAAGAACACATATAAACAATGTCACATGATTGGTTATTAAATAGAACAATTTTGATGACTTAAAAATTTTTTTATTTGATAGCCAATGACGTCAAATTGTGTCTATCTGTATTTTCTTGCTGGAAAGCTCTCATAGTTTCATCACCGTCGTCAATAATGAATAGAATTTTGAGTTGCACATGCTTTTAAAAGCACGTTGCGAGTTCTTCTGATTTCTTGGATATATTACTTTATTTTCCTTTTCTTAAACTTAAAAAAAGGGCAAGGGCATAGACTTTTGCAGTATAAGACATAGTGTATAATGTAATACTCTGTATACTTTATGCATTTACATTAAGGCTTTATGTTCTAATCTTAAAATTGTTTGGACATCGAATGATACCGATCGCAAAATGAAAAAAGTTGTCTTCAACTGTTTTAGGATGAAAACTTATATAGGAAAATATTATTATAAACCATCTCCATATAAATGTTACAATTTGCAAATATATATATTATATACATATATATATATATAATATATATAATATAATATTATAGTACTCTTGATTTAAAGAAAAAAAAAAGTATTTCTTAACAATCAGAAATCATGGCAATGATGGTCATATATTAAAAGTTAGAAGAGTCCGCAAAATAATTCAAAGTACATACATAATTCAGAATTCTATCTTATATATAAAAATTAAAGGGATCAATGAAAGTAGTCTAACCTTTTTGCAAGTTTTACTCTTCTTTTTAATATTTTTATCAGATAAATTTTTACAAATTTTATCTGTTTGTTCTATCTTATTAGAAATTTTTGAAAATATTAATGAAACGGGCTTAAAAATATCGTAAAAACTATCAAAACTAAAAAATTAATAGATTAATAGATTTAAACACAAAATTTCAAAAGTAAAGAATGCAGAATGTGAAAAAATATACGATAAGATTAGTTATTTAAATGTTCTTATGTTTTTATAAGGATGTCTGATTTTATTATCCGATGTCCGAAAAAAAGTAATTCACAATAACACACAAGTCCTTAAACATATCAATTTCGATATAGAATACTAATTTTTTTTTTTTTATACTAGACATCGGCGTTTTATACTAGACATCTTTTTGTTTTAGTTTTTGTAATGTTTTTCGCGTGAAACGTAATCGGATAACGTGCACGCAATTGGCGGATTGTAGAATCTCTGGATCATTGAATCTTTATATAGATTGTCTGACTCTTGGGTTTAAAATTTTCGGATTCCACAAGATATCCGAGAAATTTAGATTTGGAGGACTTTGATCTCTAAAGATTTGATCCTCGGATTTATCACGATCGCGACGCGACAAATGAATAATGAAATAAAACACTTCTTCCCCTTCTAAAGTCAGGGAGATCTTAAAGATTATTGGAAGCGAATAGTATCTTTCTTGAGATACTTGTGTTTAACATTATGCTAAATGTAACTTAATACTAGATCACACTATAACACACGTATCAATAAGTAATATACAAAATGCGCACGGTTTGATCGTAAGTACGAACGAAAATAAAAGCGCACCAGGTAAACGCAATGATAAACCTCTTCGGAGAATCTCTTGAACGAACGAACGAACGAACTTATGAAGACTGGGCATCTTCGCAATGAGTAGTCTCCTCGCGAGTATCTTACATGTGTTCATTTCACGATTAGACCCGTACCTCTTACCGCTTTGTGTTAACTTCCGTACGTAAGTAGCCGCGGTAGGTATTTTTTGTATTTGCTATACTTTTTTTGGATCTTATAAACAAGTAGATTTAAGCCTAAAGAGAATCCGGAGTGTCTCTTGCTTTCGATCGTCGCATAGTCGCAGCTCACGGCCTGTGATGCGATTTCGTTTTACATCGTGAAATGCGATTTAGTAAACTTAATAGACATAAAGTTTCAAAGTTTTGGGATTATCGCAATATTTCTTTTAGGATCTTCAGAAAAATGTTAATAATTGCTAAAAGAAAGATTCTAATTTTTTGCTTGATAAAAACTGCGATGAAGTTTCTCTTTATTTTTCTTTGTTTAAAAAAGAATCTAATTTTCAAATATTATTTTACACTTTTTATACAAAGAATTAATTTTGAGTAAGTTTAATTTAAAACATTTTTGAAGTGTCTGTTTTGTGATGATAATTTTTTTTATAATTTATATAAATATAATATTCTATGCTAATGTCAAATACTAAACTTTCTCTGCATTTTACATTGATAAAACGACACATGCTGGCAAGCGGATGTGCGCGCGATCGGTTGCAACTCGTGTCACCAACCTCAAAATCACATCCGAATAACAAATACTTCAATTCAGCAGTTCAATACAATCGGTCATTGAGCTGGTTGATGTTATAGCGATAACAGCATTGGCGATTAAGAGATGCAGATATTTTCTCAGTATTTTTTGACAACTATTTCTCCGCAGGATATTCGACGTGACTGTACTGTCATTAGTGATTTGGGATTTGTAAGTTTCTTAAGCACAATATTAAAAGTGCTTATATTGTCCTTTCGAGGGAAATGTCGTTTGCAGTGTACCTTTCGTGAAAACTGAAAACAAAAATCAGTCAATTCTCTCTTTTTCGTCTTCCGATTTCTCTATTTTCTATTCGAATGGACATCTTGGACATTTCTTCTAGAAAGAAAGAAAGAGAGAGAGAGAGGATCTGCGGAGCTGAGGATCCTCTTCGGATTTAATAATGTGTTTTTATGTATAGATTAAAGCACATTCATACATCCAAGAATTTCTAAATTTTAGATTTCTTCGAAAACATGATTTCTGTGATCTCTAGAATCCATAGATCTCCAAAATCACACGAGTTCTGCGGACTAGATGTTTGGATAGTTCGCGAATCCGAAGATCTGTGGATTCCAGTTGGCTTATTTTTTTTTCTTTTTTTCAGTTTTCGTAGATCTGAGAATGATTGGATTATATAGGATTTGAAAGCTATCTCTTCGAAAGTCTGAGTCTTGGAATGTATGTTCGAAAGTGTGTGAACTCTGAGAGGCAGAGAAGCTTGGAAAAATGAAATTGAATTGCGGGATCTTTGTTTGTAAAACGATTCTTGAATCCAATAATGAGTTTGAATTTAAACAATTCGGGATTTTGAGATCAATCAATTTCAAGAGATCCGCAGGATCCAAAAATCTCACTTGATTAGGTTTTTCGGATTTTTGTCCCTTTCGTCGAGACGTAGATGGTCTTGCTGTAGACATAAAATATTCAGGCGCATGAATCCACCGGCGAACAGTAATTTCTGATCGGTACCTTTTAGCTGCGTATAAGCATGCGGATGGTAAGAAAATAGATGGTCGCAGAGTATTGGTCGATGTCGAGCGTGCGAGAACGGTAAAAGGTTGGTTGCCCCGAAAACTCGGCGGCGGCCTAGGTGGCACTCGTAGGGGTGGCCCCGATGTCAACATCAAACATTCGGGACGAGAGGATAATGAGAGGGAAAGGGAACGATATCGTTTGGAACGTGAGAGGGAGACTTCAGGACGCGGCCTCGACAGAGACAGGTAAGGATGGAGAAAAGAGATAACAAAAGATAACAGGAGGTGACAAACTTTAAAAAGAGATTATAAAAATTATATTTATTCGTTTTATAGAGATCGCGATCGTCTGGATAGGGAACGTCGCAGATCACGTGATCGCAAGCGAAGAACCAGAAGCAGATCGCGTGATCGTAAGCGTAGGCGAAGTCGCGACCGATTGCCGGATCCTGATATTGAAGAGATTGAACGACCGCGCGATGGGAGAGATAGGAGAGATCGTGATCGTGATCGCGATCGGGATCGCAAAAGACGCCGCTCGCGAAGTAACGATCGCGATCGCGATAGGGATCGTAAGCGAGACAAGCGAGACAGAGATCGCGATCGTAGGGACAGGAAGGATCGTGGCGATCGTCAGGATGAGGACACGAAAGAGATCCGAATTAAGGAAGAACCTTTGGATGGTATCTTTAATAAAAAGACAAATATATTTAAAGGAAGAAAATGGAAAACATATGTTAATATTACATTATTTTTCAGATTATCCAGATTACAGCAACACTTTTGCGACGTCGGGCTCATACTTCACCACTGTCAAGTATGAAGATGATAATGATCAGGAGGTAGAGGAGAAATATCGTATTCCGGAGGGTCGACCCGACCCACCTCCGTACAACAATTATGATTCCGTACAAGATTATTGATCTCAAATAATACATGTTTTCATCGTGTCCCTTTTTTCACAGTAAGCTGCCAACGCCGCATTATTGTCGTGTTATTTCTATTACTAGCATAATGGCAAATTAGCTCTTTCAGGAGCAATTCGAGTTGAATAAGAGGAATTATAACATTCGTAAAGAATTATACAAAGATTCCACAGAATCTTCGAAATATATTAAATAAATAATTTATTACAATAAAAAATAAATTACATATTTACTAAAGTGAAATTTTGACAAAAACTCGTTGAAAAATATTAGGCATATTACTATATACTGTATCACATAAAATAGTTAGTAAATGTTGTACAAATCACCTTTACAGAGTTAATAGCTCTATTTCAATTTTTATGAGAAATTTGCGAAAATTATATATCAATGCAGTCACTAATCTCGATTTGAAGTATTTTCTGCCGTTCTCTCCGCCTATCTATTTATATCATTAGTAAGATTATATTTGCAATAAAAGAAACATTTTGACATTTATGTTAATAGATTAACGAATATCTAAAAAATTGTATCATGAATCACGAAGTCTCGCGATATAAAAAGTATAGTTGCTAAAATTCAATATTATTAAATTGCTATTTTAAGCATTGGCTGTCTACATGTGTATATATAATTACATATACAAATTTAACTTCTTCATGACTGCTTTATGTATATTTATGTAAGGTTTATGTATATGTTCAAATAAAATAAAACATGATTAATTTGTTATGTATTTTTTGTTTCTCTTGTGACGCATGACAAAAATTGGCTTCTAGTATTGATTTTTTATTTTAAAATCAAGTTGGAGCTTTTGTAAGGATAAAATACCACGAGGAATAATGCGAATTTTCACGATATAATATGCGTTCTAGATTTTCGTATATTCTGCCCAATTTTGTCAATATTCATATCAGTTTGATACGTTAGAATGTCAACTTTTGCAGTAACAGAGTGTCTAGTAGTCAGGGAAATCTGGAAAACCGGTATTGTCAGGGAATTTTATAAATCTCTATAAATCGTTAGGAAAAAGTCAGAAAATTTTACTATTTATCTGAATTTTTTCATATTCACATTTTTCTCAATAATTAAAAATTTTTTATTAAATAAATATAAACTTTTCCTCGACTCTCAGCATACTAATTTTCTGTGTTAAAAATTGATTAATCTACACCGTGTTCGTTAATTTATATTTTCATCGTCGTGTTATTTTATTTCAATGTGTTTGATAGAGACAAAATTAAAAAATTTGATATAAATGAAAAATGTGATTATTTAAATACATAGTTTATAGTGACATGTTTGTTTCGATTATCGCACATAATGCAGATTGTATAAATAATTAAAATTTTTGTTTAACTTTCGTGTACCTTTTCATTGTTGACAAAAATATTTCAACGATTTCATGATTTAACATTTAATTGATTTATTATATAGATATATGCAAATTATATATTTGGAAAAAATAATACTAAAAAGTCAGGGAAAAAATTAATTTCTGGTCTTGGAAAATCTGAAAAAGTCGGAATTTTTTTTCATCGAGTCCGCTGGACATCCTGAGTAAGCAAAAGAAGAAAGCATGTGATTTACGTAAACATAATTATACGGTTCTCATTAGTGCAAAAATTATCGTATATTCTGCAAAAAATGCATATAAAATTATTTTAATAGATTAAAAATGAATTAAAATCGTTTTAGAAAAACTGAGCAGCACTACATAAGTATAAACAAAGGACAATGTTAAAAAATCCCGATTTTTTGCCCCTCGAGGAAATGGATAGAATCTATTCCGTACATATCGCTTCAGAAGGATTCCTTCAGTTTTTGACCATTTCATCCCAATCACACCACCTATACGGGGAATATGACAAGCTTTAAAACTCAGAACTGAACCTTTAAACACCTTCTATTTATTATAAGATTATTTTAGGCTTTTAAACTGAGAATTCGGAAAGAATCTCAATTCAGTGCGTTGAAAATTGAAAAGTGGACCCGTTTTAACACCTTATTTAGTAAGTCAAACAGCTTGCCAAAAGTTTTCCCCAGAGTTCTCCACGGTCTTAAGTGCATTTTTGGTTTATATTTATGTGTGGAAAACATGGAATAGGTTTTATCCATTTCCCCGAGGGGCAAAAAATCGAGGTTTTTTTTTAACATTGTCCTTTTCTAATTTTTTCAGAATGTTTTCGCTTAAACTTTGCGTTCTATACTTGGTATAAAATGCTTTATGCATTAGTTTATACTTTTTTTCTAGAAACGAAGTATTACTTAATAATCTCTAAAAACTCACCTTTAAAAAAAGGTAAAAAAAGGCGACCAGTTAAGGGCACGCCATTAACAAAATTATCCATTGCAAACCCATGTAGAATCCTATCCTATTGCAAACCCATGTAGAATCCTATGAAAAATTAATCATTGCAAACCCATGTAGAATCCTAGGCAAAATTAACCATTGCAAACCCATGTAGAATCGTACCCATTGCAAACCTATGTAGAATCCTATGAAAAATTAACCATTGCAAACTCATGTAGAATCCTATGAAAAATTAACCATTGCAAACCCATGTAGAATTGTATTAAAAATTATCCATTGCAAACTTATGTAGAATCCTACATTGCAAACCCATGTACAATAGAATTGTATGAAAAATTATCGATTATAAACCCATGTACAATCGTAACAAAAGTAATGAAATAAAAAAAAATTGCGCCAAGTGAAAGTAGAAACTTGTACCAGTGGAAAATTAAAGTTGCAGACATATATAGAGTCGTATAATGAATCAGTAAAAATTTAAATTTGCAAATGTAGAATCGTACCATAAAAAAACTTATCTTTTAAAAAAAAGATAAACAAGATGCCAAGTCCATGCGCCATGTGAAAAAGAAATAAAAAAATTTTAGTTAAAAAAACTGGGCGCGCTGCTAAGTTTCAAAATTACAATGCACCTTAAAGTAACATTAATTAATTTAAACACAAAACATATTTTAACTGTAATGAGTTTAAAAGTAACAATTTAATTTTAATATTGTTAGAATATTATTTAGCAGCGCTCCCAGTTTTTTTAACTAAATTTTTTTATTTCTTTTTCACATGGCGCATGGACTTGGCATCTTGTTTATCTTTTTTTTTAAAAGATAAGTTTTTTTATGGTACGATTCTACATTTGCAAATTTAAATTTTTACTGATTCATTATACGACTCTATATATGTCTGCAACTTTAATTTTCCACTGGTACAAGTTTCTACTTTCACTTGGCGCAATTTTTTTTTTATTTCATTACTTTTGTTACGATTGTACATGGGTTTATAATCGATAATTTTTCATACAATTCTATTGTACATGGGTTTGCAATGTAGGATTCTACATAAGTTTGCAATGGATAATTTTTAATACAATTCTACATGGGTTTGCAATGGTTAATTTTTCATAGGATTCTACATGAGTTTGCAATGGTTAATTTTTCATAGGATTCTACATAGGTTTGCAATGGGTACGATTCTACATGGGTTTGCAATGGTTAATTTTGCCTAGGATTCTACATGGGTTTGCAATGATTAATTTTTCATAGGATTCTACATGGGTTTGCAATAGGATAGGATTCTACATGGGTTTGCAATGGATAATTTTTGTTAATGGCGTGCCCTTAACTGGTCGCCTTTTTTTACCTTTTTTTAAAGGTGAGTTTTTAGAGATTATATCATTCATTTTTGTATATTTTTATGACCGGAATAGAACAATTATTAAACATGTTTATCTAAACTTCTTTGCTTAAAATGATGTGTACAATCATATCCTAGAATCCTGATCATTCCTCCTAAAGCACCCTATTTATATAAATTTACCTATATGTGTGTGTGTGTGTGTGTACTAATGTCGAGCATTTTTTATACATTTTCTATTAAATTTAGATAAAAGTTGCAGGATTTCGAAAAAGAAAAAGTTGACACAGACTTTTTCCTAAACGGCGATTTTCAAGGTTATTTAAAGGTCACTTATATTTTCAAAATAGAATTACCTTAATTTTTCTCATATAAATCGATTCCTCGCAATATTTACTATAAAAAGTTGTAAAGGTATAATTTTTACATAATCTTACATAAACTTCGAAATATTACAAATATTTTATTTTATGAAATATTTCAGTTTATGTAAAATTATGTTAACTATCTTTTAAATTATTCACTTTTAGCCATCTTACCCTTACAACCTTTTATAGTGAATATTGCAACAAATTGGTTTATATATATAATATATATATAACATCAGTTATTATTAATTGATGTTTACATTTATTTTTAGACTTACTAGAGCTCAAATGCTCCACATTTTTTGCAAAAACTGTTTATTCTACAGATTTCAAATATGCTTTTAAATGATGATTGAATATTTCCTTTTTTTAATTATTTTTATTATTATTTTTCAATCTCAATCAACTTTTATAACTTTATGCCAGCACGATACAAATACATGTGTCTTTATTTTTTTTATTATTTTCATTATTATTTTTCAATCTCAATCAACTTCTATAACCTTATGCCAGCAGGATACAAATACATGTATGTCTTTATTATTGTATCAACTCTTGTCTTTTCCATGTAACCATGTCTTCATAGTTTGAATTATCCCTTCATCTTCTCAATCTTTCGCAGAGATTTAATTAATTAAATACACTTCACACGAAATAAAGTTTGCTGGAAGATATACAGCAAACGATAACTGTAAAAACATGATTACGTGGAAAGAACAAGAGTTGGTACAGTAAAGGCAAGTAAGTAAGTACATGTAATGTATCGTATTGGCATAACGCTATATCCGCGGAGCAGATAATGTGGCTGTAGAGGTAGTCTGCAGTGCAGCTAATGTGGACGTAGATGTTGATTGAGATAATTGTCTAATATAAAATAGAATTTCAAAATTTAGTTTAAAAAGCTGTTGCATATATAAATAAAGTTTATTTTTTCTAAATTTGGAATATGTTTAATTAATTAATTTTTTAAGTCTATGTTTAATAAATTTTTTAAGTCTGTATTCAATAATTTT